GTGGTTGTAGTAGTGCGACTGCTGATCATGAGGTCCTGGGTTCTTATTTATTAAAATGAACTTTTAGTATAATCTAAAGTTAGATTTTAATAAAAGTTAAAATCCAGCTGACGGTAAGTGATTATCACCATAGACATATACAGGCTACTCCACAAGTGACCATAAGACGTTTGCAACCTCTGCTGACTGAGATGGAATGTTACATACTCGTTATAATACTAGTACACTGTTTTTTTGACTGCCTCGTTAGTCTAGTGGTTGTAGTAGTGCGACTGCTGATCATGAGGTCCTGGGTTCGAATCCCGGGTCGGGCCATAAAATTAATTATTGAGTTTTTCGGAGTCACAAAGTTGGCGGTGTCTCACCCCCGTGCCTCGGAAAGCACGTAAAGCCGTTGGTCCTGCGCCTGATCTCTCTCCGGGCGTGTCGGTTTACCGTCTCATCGGATTATGAGAGTGAGGGAATAGAGAGTGCTTTCGCATACACTTGGGCACTATAATCCTGTCCTGCGGCGATGGCCTCCGTTGAGGCAGGCTGCCGTGGCCGAAATTCGGTCTGGAGGACTATATTTATGTTATTACTATATTCTCGAAATACCCTTGGGTATTGTATACCCACCGTTGCCCCTCTAATTTTTTGTTAAATTTTAATGAAACATTTATGGGTTACAATCGATCCGCCTTGCTTCGCACGGGCGAATTCTTGATCACGATACCAGCGCCACCTACCGGGTCCAATTGTGAATGTAAACAATCCACAGACTCACTTAAATACACACAATTTTTATTACAAGCCATTTTAGAGTTTTATCGCGAGTAGCGGGCAGCTCGAGAGGACTATGCTCGGGGTTTCTCTGCGTGATAGACATAAAAGCGAGGATATCCGCAGTAGAAGTAACCGAGATAGCCCAACGTATTAGTAAGGTAAAATGACTACGGGCCAGCCATATACGGTTTGAAGAACCTACAACCGATGGTGTAGAAAGGTTCTCGAGTCAAAACGTCACCTGCCTCGCACCGGCAGGTGACGTTTTTGGCATTTTCCCGATAGATGTAGTGACGACCTGATAAGACATACAGGATGTCGATGGATGCAGGTGACTCAGGACCGTGGTTTGTGACATTCCTTGGGGTAGGCCTATGTTCAGCAGTGGACTCATGAAGGGCTGTAATGATGATGACGATGATAACGGACACGTACGTACTTTTTTGATTTTGTTATAAATTAAATAAAACCGCAATAATTGTTTAGGATAAAAAAATATTCCACAATCAGGGAAGTTCTAAACAATATTTTTTTATGAATCTATCCGTGTTCTTGTTGGATAGTCAAAATAATATTAATAGGCGATGGCAAATGATAGAAAGTTCTTTCTCCTTTATTTCATCGACAATTATTTTTGCGGTCCGTACAAAAATAGGTGAAAGGGATTGAACGTTAGTGTGGTGCAGTTACATGTAGTCACTGTATCAAAATTATATGATTTCCGCGTGTGTTCGGTATGAACGGATTCACGGGCCGATGGCTTTAGCAAGTTGTAGAAATGTATGCGTAATGGTGCTTCTTTTTGTGCTGTTCACTGAGCCTACTAAGACCGTCACCACCACCTTTCATAGGTTAATCTGACAATAGCGACATCTACTTACAACTAAATAAACTAATAATAAGTAATTAGATAACAGATTTAATAAAATTAAAGACTTATACTAAATATTTTTATATTTTATACGTGGTAGAGCCATGCTGCAGTTATAATATAGTTGTAGCACGAATGGGTCGGCTCGACCGGGGTTGGACCACGATCTCACAGAATGCCAGCGTAAAATAGTAGCTTAATGTTGCTGTGTTTCGTGCGATGAGTGTAGAGAACCGGAGACCCTTTTTACTGGAAACGAAGTATTCTGTCTTAGTCGTCACGGGTGAAAACGCATCTGCATTTTGATTCGTAATAGAGGATACATGTAGGTGTCTATGAACCACAGCAACCACTTACCATCAGGTGAACTGTGTGCTCGTTTGTCACCCTATCCTATAAAAAAATATAAGTGCAGCATCAATAATTGTTAGACTTAAAATATGATATATTATATTAAAATCATCCCAGGATGATTTACCGCAATTACGACGTTTGTAAAATTGCTAACTAACTGTTGTACTTAATACTATTTACCCAAAATTGTGATTAAGCGGGAAGCTCATTAGTGTAAAGTATTCGATGTCTATCGACATAGCAATAATTTCACCAACTTCTTTTTGCATCACGTTTGTGGCATCGTTGGATGATTAATTACTAGGAATAATAATATGCAATCGTGCAAAAGATTCTTTTCATTTTATATTAATTCTGTTTAAACAAATACGAGAGCCGTGTAGCTCGCCTAAAGATTTCGCATCAATTGAGCAAAACATGCACAATTCTCGGGAGAACTAATGAAATTGTTAGAGGGAATGTACATATGTGCTGATATTTGGAGGTGAAGATATTAAACATTTATTTTTTAGAAGCAAATTTTACTTAAAGACAGACTTACTTACTTTAATATGAGTAGAACTGCACTGATAGCAATTTGAAAGTCGTTTGTATTAATTAATTCGTTAATCGAACCGATCCAATTGTAAATTCATAGTACATAGCAACCCTAATTCGGTGCTCGCCGACGCCACTCAAATTTTAATTGTAATTTGAATTGTCGGTTTATCACGTTCTCGACGGGGAAGGGAAACATGGCGAGGATAATTGCATGTCTAAGGAGTTTAAAAAAAAGAATGTTTTTAAATGTGAAGCCGGTAATCCCGCGTTGGGTCAATGTGGCGCGGCGAACTCTTTCATGTCACAAACTCTCTGCGGCCTGTACCTAGTAGTAGGATTTATGCTAGCATTCTACCTTTTCATATAATGTTTGGAGATATTGCATTTGTGTTGTGCAGAAATCACGTCTGTTATCTTAACAGCTTCCCATAAGTCCACTGCTGATGATAGGCCTCATATATCTGACTCGTAGGCTAGACTTTAACGTGCTTGAAATAAAGTTAATTTTTCTTTATTATTATTGAATGACAGAATTAGTAATAATACAAATAAAAAGGCACTCTTAAAAGTCTTATTGCCTTAAGTTACGGTCCATTTCAGTTTGTTTTGACTGTACAGATTTAGTGTGACTGTAATTTACGTAGTTTTAATTATTTTTGGGATATAAAATTACCTATATTAAAAATGATAGGAATCGATTCAGTAAACGATTCTGAACAAACTACTTTCTCAAAATGCGTTAATTATGTTACGTGTTGTATAGACCGGCTCGTGGGCTAGGTTTGCTTTGATTTCCACTCTTGGCCGGCAAGCGCTTGCTAGCCTGAACATTTTATTATTTTGAGCTGTCAGGAAAGTGCTGCTTACCATATCCTATTTCAGTTTTCTTCTCTAGCCTCTTACGACACCCCATGACAATATGAGGAAGTGGATACTCTTTCGACGCACCTATACGGCGAATAAGTTTTAACGTAGTTGTTCTTATATTTACCGTAAAAACAGATATATTTATGAAATTTTGAAGTATAATAATAATAATAATAATGTCCTCCAGCTCCAGACCGAATTTTGGCCACGGCATCCTGCCTCAACGGAGGCTAGCCATCGGCGCAGGACAGGATTATAGTGCCCAAGTATATGCGCCAGCACAGGTGCACTCTCTATTCCCTCACTCTCATAATCCGATGGGACGGTAAACCGACACGACCGGAGAGAGATCAGGCGCAGGACCAACGGCTTTACGTGCTTTCCGAGGCACGGGGGTGACACACCGCCATCTTCCTGACTCCAGGCAGCTACTGGGAATTTCTTGACAGAAAAACTCAATGTATGATTTTTGGCCCGACCTGGGATTCGAACCCATGATCAGCAGTCGCACTACTACAACTATTAGACCAACGAGGCAGGCAAAGGCTTTGAAGTCTATCCAAACATTAAAAAAGTATCAGGAAGTATCTATTTCCTAGATCCAATCAACATTCAATAGGACGAATGACATGAATTGTTTGTCGCCAATAAAACATAATGCCGTAAGTAAAAAGAAGTCCATGAAATTCAACATTGTTTTCAACATTATTATCAAAACGAAAGTAATTTTTAATCTAAATAAAAGTTGGCACTTTATAAGGATACATAACGCCTTTCTGAATATTTAATGTAATTCTGAAAAACACACTTCAACATTCCTGTAGCATATTATATGATTATATGCGCATAGCGACCAGTAGACGGACAATAACGTCAAAATGTGAAAGATATCTGGTATAGTAGCACAGGCTTCCCCCGCACATTGTCTTATAGGGGGGACTCAACTATTTTGCCATAGTTGCCACGCTTGGCAGGCGGCAATGTAAACTTCTGAGAGCAAATAAAGTAAATCTACATTATTACTATTAATATAACTATGCCGAATTTCAGTAATCTACGTCAAATAGTCTCAGAAAATTCCTGTGAGAAACAGATATAAAGACACAAACATCTGGTTACCCTATCATGAAAGTCAGAAGATCAACTTATTTCTAGGACATTTTTGCTAGCCATATAGTTATAATTTAATTAGAATAACATTGTGTTAAATTTAAGCCTTTATTTCTCAAATTATTTATTTTTTACCGAGATGACTCCATAAGTGATCTAATTTGTTAATTTTGGCACGAAACAATGGTGATGTTCCTAAATTGAAGCCCACGCGAGCGAAGCCGCGGTCAAAAAGATAGTAGGTACTTTATAAATTTTTGTATTGCCAGACGAATAAATCAAAAAGCGATGGTAAATTTTAGAAAATATCCTTCTTTTTCAATTCTTTTTCTATTCGTACAACCGTCGTCCTTTCAAAATAGGAGAATACGATAACATCGATCTTTACAAATGTGCCTCTATAAGTATATAGTCGACATTGTGTCAAAAATTATACTTTAAATATGTTCCGGTTTAAAAAAAACTATATTTCATAATTACTATGAATACTTACATCCTCTCGTTGAATGCCAATGCCTATGAATATCGATGACCTTACACAAAGTTTTTTCCACTCATCGTAAATTGCCTGTTCATAAATGGTAAACTGAAAGCAATCCAGCCACGGTGATGATGCGAACAACCGCAACACATAAATCTTTTAGAGCACTATGAATTTCTTATTTGGACGTATTATAGGTTAAATAAGATATATCCTTCGCAGAGATGGCGTCATCTTACTATTTTCGTCGTTGTGTTTCACCGTTACTTTTCGCTAAATGAACACGATATTGAAGTTGTATTACTCAAGATATCAAAATATAATAGGTCCTTACATATGAAATTGGCGTTTTGTGCGGGAGGAATATAAAGTCATTTTTTTTTGTAAAATGTATTTAATTAATTAAAGTATGCACCGTTGTTATCTATGCACTTTTCGCCATCTCATAGGTAGTTCTCGGATCCGTTTACTAAAAAAAATCATGGGGGCGAGAATCAATAAACTCTTTGAAGGCGGTTAGGACTGCCGCATAGGAGTTGAATTTTTTTTCTTTGGAAGAAGATGTCCAGATTCCGGAAAAAAAGGTAATCTGTTGGAGCAAGGTCCGTGGAGTACGGTGGATGTCGCAGACATTCCAATTGTAGCTCATCTAACTTGGTTGTTTGTTGTGCAGTGTGTGTTCTTGCGTTGTCGTGAAGCAGCAGTGACCTAGAGCGATTGACCCATCTCGGTTGTTTAGCAGCTAGTTCTTCCTTCATGGTTTGCAGTTGCTGACAAAAGATATCTGCCTTAATCGTTTGCTCAGGTTTTAGAAAGCTGTAGTGAACGACACCAGCGCTGGTCCACCAAACACTCACAAGTAACTTTTTTGAGTCAATTTTCGTTTAGGACACGATTTGGTTGTGTCTCCTGGGTTCAGCCATTGCAACGAATGCTTCCGATTATCGTACAGTATCCAATTTTCGTCATAAGTAATGATTCGATTTAAAATCTCTTAATTTTTGTGTCGGTTGAGCAAAGTAACACAGCAGTCGACGCGTGTCTGCAAGTTCGATTCACTCAATTCATGAGGTACCCATCGTTTAAGTTTTTTTTTTTACTTTTCCGATTTGCTTCAAGTGGATTAATACAGTTTTATCACTTACCCCGAAGCCTGCAGCTATCTCTGGTGCTTTGTGATGGATCCGCTTCCTCAGTAGCCTTTAATTCTTCATTTTCCACTTTGGTCTCCGGCCGTCCATGGGGTTATTTCTGAAGGTCGAAATTTCCAGAACGAAAATGTTGAAACCAAAAAGTACCGTGCTTTCTTTTGCGATACCAGCGCCGTATACATAATTAATCCTTCGAGCTGTTTCTGCAGCACTGGTGCCACGGTAAAACTCGTACTCGTAAATATACCGATATTTCATGTTTTTCCTTGTGCGGTAATAAGCGACGCCAAAGAAAAAAATAACGAAGAAAAACAAATGAATGATCAAAGGATGTTTTCAAAGCTTAAATTTACCAGCTAAATGAATTTATAAATTTGAATTTGGAATTTTTAACCAAAGAAGAGATATTTCAGTTCAAAGTGGTCAGTACGACAAAACGCTAATTTCATATGTAAGGACCCAATATAAAATATAGACCAAATTCAAATTATCTTCTGATCTGGTTGGTGTAAAACGGGACGACTGAGAAAGATAAATCTTTAGAATAAACCAAAAACAACAACAATACTCTCACATTAAATGTATTGCGTTACATACATAGTTTTTAAAATACAGTCTTTAAAACGTTTTTAAAATAATAAGTAAATTCTTATTTGCCTGAAGCTAAAAGTAATTAATTGCTTTTTATGTTAAAGGTACAATTTTTTTTAATATAGCATAAGGGTGACAAACTAGCACAATGTCGACCTGACGGTAAGTGGTTGCTGTGGCCCGTAGACATCTACACTAAAATCTTCAATTACGATTTACGACACAAAATACATTATAGATTACGAATCAAAATGTGGATACGTTGTCAACCGTGAGGATTGTGATGGAATGCGTCGTTTCCAGTAAAAAGTGTCTCCGGTTCTCTACACTCACCATACGAAACACAGCAGTGTTAAGCTGCTATTTTACGCTGGTATTCTGAGGGAAATGGTCTTTCCCAATCGGGCTCACCCATTCGTGCTACAACTATATCAGTAATATAACTGCAGCATGGCTCTACCACGTAAAACCCACGTAAAGATATAATAACTTTTACTTTAAATTGAATAAATTTGCGTAGGAGACTTTAGTTATTGAGACGTGTCCTGTTTATATATCTAACTTACTTATTTTTATATATTTTACTGGAAGTAGTAATATTATTCAAGGTGATACGATATGGTCTTACAAGAAACACTTACAATAAACACATCATTCACATTTCCGCATTTATCCTTATCCTTTTCGAGGTAGCTTCAAATATAACGCGATTAAATTGATGGATATATCTGCCAAGTCCTTTTCGAAACCTTAGAACAATTAACGATTTTAGAATTCAATTTAAATCGTTGCTTTTAAACATCCAAAACAGAGTTAATTTTGGGTATTACACATAATACAAAATTATGTAAATGTTTAATATTCTAGGCTTTCATCTTCCCATTGTGTTAACCATATTACTACTCAAAGTGTATTATTGATAACCATTGAGAAATTATTGATATTAAAATTTGTCGTTAACTCAGACTTATCTAATTAATGAACAGTAATTTCCTTGTGTCATTTGATACAACGCTCTCTTTATACAATATACACATAGGATCTGTAATCTACGCTATATTGCGGTCCTTGTAGCTTACGCTAAGTAACCCTTTTACAGGGTCATAGTTCAAGGCCGCTATGCTATTAATGTTACTTTGCTCAAAAATTGTATTGTTATAATTTTCTACATCGTTTTCTACCTAGGATGATTCGTGTGGCTATTAAAATAAAACAACATCCTAATTTCAATAGAGAAGGCGGCTGGGTACAACCACCTGCTTGGGATCTTATAATAAATAAAATTAGAACCTAACCCAAACATTCTACTGCAAGATTTCAAGATACAGTACGGTTGTTCTGCGTAGATCGAACCAAAATTGATAATTAAAAACTGAAAATATAACGGGTTATCTATTATCTATGACATGTAAATCCTCCTCTTTATCATTGGTACATATTGTAGTCGCTTGTATGAACAAAAAATAATGTTTCTTTCTTTCTTCCTGTATGTGTCTCCTACACCAAACGATATACTAATGCTTTTTATTAATAGAAAAATGCCAAGCATTATATTCGTCATTTAATTTTTTTGTACTTGTGCAACTCTACGGAAAGTTGCGTAAATCATGACTTTTAATCATGCTATAATATAAAATTAAACATGACGTAATAATATATTAATTCGAAGACTAACAAACGTTTTTTTTTTTTCTCGTCAATATCTTTTTAATTGATCGTTCAATTTAAGCGAAACCATTTTTGCTAGACCTGTTGGAATATACGTATCATAATTGTTATTGTTTGCCAAAGTCAAAGTTGTTGATTTCGTATCACTACAAAACTGTTTATTGAAGTCACGAGCGATTTAATTAATTGTCTACATTGGAACCTGTTAGACGAGCAACCTACCTACTCTTAACTTACTCGTTCATTAACAGTCGCCCTCGCACATCGCCCATGTCTTACTTCATACATGACGGAAATAAATTGAATATATTGCAAATACATACACATTCGAATAAATCTCATTGTTCGAATAGTGTAGTAACGTATTCGATAAGTACAATTCCAGAGATATTGGATATTTGATTTGATTACAATAGAAGAGAAAATTAAACTTAATAATGTCGGAACAATTTAATATCACATATACACTCTAAGTTCAAAAATGTCTCATACTATTAATAATAAAAATAGAGTTAGTCATATTACTATAGTGGATATTTTTTTAGCTCTTGAGTAAATTATCTTCGTCGTAAAACTGATGAATGTTCGTTTGCTAAGGTATTTGTTGTTTAAGTTGTATTAGTGATTTGTTTTTATTATTGTAGTAGTAAGAATTGAGGATAATTTCATTTTATGAAACTGACTCAAACGTTTTAGGCTACCATTGTTTTTGTGTAAGTTTGGTTTGGAATAAAAAAGAATATACAAGTGATATGGTGACATTGATAAGGTGACACTAATAATTTCAAAAAAATCATAACATTAGCTTTAATAAGTATATCATCACTATACTATCACTACTGAACATAGGCCTCCTCAAAAACACGTTGCCGAGTTGCCTAAATCTGTAGGTCGTCACACTATCTGTTCATGGGTGCGTTTTAATATATTATAACATAATAATTTATAATAACTTGTATAAATTCTATCAGTTTTCCAATCATAAAGTTATATGTCGAAAGAATTCATGACTGTCATGAAACCTGAAAGAAAGGCCAATTCAGTGCCAGTTCGTACAAGTCGCTGCCATCATGAAAAATGAATAAAATCGTATTTGGGGCATTCGCTTTCCCGATCCTTTGCAAAATGAAACGTGTAGACACATCATAATACTCGCCAATCAGTCATTTTAAAATGAACACCATATTTTTTATTCTGAATGTAGCAAGCCATACAGTAATAGCAATATTTCGAAGAAATATGCCATAAAATACTTCTTGAATTTAAATGAAAAAATACAATAATGTTAAAGAAATCAATCTTGTAGTACAACGGTAAAAAAATTGTTAAATTTTTTTTATATTGTATTACTACAACTACTTCTTCATAATTCTCCTAAATACAGGTTACTAAGTAACCCTGCTAGGGGACTCAGGATTCTATCCATTTTTAATTGGTCCTCATGATGTATTATATTGGTATAAAGTATGTAAGCTATAAAAATTCAATAAATAATTATCATTATTAATATTCATAACGTTTTATTCATCTCTTAGCCATCTTCGAAAAAAGAGTAGGTTTACAAGTCGACTACGTTTTTTTGTTATTATTACGTAGTTATGCGATATCTTCGTCAATTGGAAATCGAGCTTCAGAGATGATCTCTAATGAAATTTTTAATGTTTAAATTTAGAGGACATTAAGATGGTGATGTTCCTCATAAGGGTAAAATATAACTTTCAGTAAAAGTAA